AAGGGTTTCAAGGGGAAAGTCTCTTTATCTAAGGTAATATGGTAGACGGAAACCTGCATTCAGAGGATGCAGAAAAAAAACATATACTTAAATTCCAGTCCTGCATCGTTTATCAGAACCGTTAATTCATCTGGAAAGAGCAGAGTTGAAGGAAAATCCTGGCACATCGGCCCATGATCAAACATTAAAGGTGTAGTGGAGGATGTTCTTTTACCGGGTTGATCATCCAAATAAGTGGTCCTCCTAATTGTCAATCATTCTGGTGATATGTTTAAGTCAGGCCGTCCTACATGCTCGTCCCCATTTTAACTTAGAGATGTGGAGTCTGACATGGTGGAAAAATTGCAAATCTTTTTTCGGAAAGTAAGTTTGCATGAGCGATGCAAACAGCAACTTTTAAACAGAGCGTGCATGAGGAGAAATGGGCTTATGCACGCTCTTGCATGCGTTTAATAGAAGTTCCCTCTCAGGAGCGGGTACAGGGTTGTGCATGTGCATTTTTTTTTTTATAAAGTTGAGACGACAGGTCTGTTTTAAAATTCATGAAAATCCTTCACTATACCTTCAATACAACAATACCAGAACAGATTTTGAGCATGTCTATTGCCTTTTTGACTGGTAAAGTGGCACCTGAAGGAACTAGAAGAGTTTGGGAACAATCACAGATAAAAACAGGTGATGGAGGCAGGATGGTTCTGTCATGTTTTGCAGCTTAACAATTATTGAGTCAGTTGCGAACCTATTTGTGTGTAAAGTTTTCTTCAGCCAGCATGTTAAATATCAACATTCCCAAAAAATAACTAGAATTAATAAGTATATCACTCTATTTCGAGATGAGGAAAACTTCTCCAAAATGAAAATGGCAGCACCATATTATGGAAATTTGCTGCAGACAAATCACTTCAGCTTTGGACAGATTTAGCAGAAGCAATTAAAACATCTGAATAGCAAATATTTCATAAATATTTCTAGTCGAAGAGCCTGGAAATGGTCAATTATTATCGGTGTGGGTCATTTAGAAGAAAGGAATATATGTCTTCTTTTCTACAGGCATCAAATACTGCTGCTGTGTTGCCCTGTAGGCTGGAAAAGTTTCAGCTTTAATCACAAAAGTGAAAATATTTCATTTGTCCATAAAATAACAAAGAGACAAAACTAACATTGATGCTTCTTAAACAAAATGCTGGCAAACAACAATCTGTATCCTGTGCAATGGTGCAGCTTCCACACTGATTAGATTTTCCCCAGCAGCTCCACGCTCTCTCTCCCTCCTCTAATTTGTTTTGTCAGAGCTGGGTCCAAGGCTCACAGTTTCATTTCATGACAGTCTTTCTTGGAGCAGCCAGAAAGACCTGTCTTTCTTCTTTGTGGACATTATTTTGCAGCAATCATCCACACTCCATGGGATCCATCACTGTTGACTGACTGAACAGATTAAAACTAGCATGCTTTAACTAGAAGATGGTCTTCCCAGATCTCCTCCTTCAGTCATTCTGCACATGTGTGAGAGAAAGACTTTCTGGTTTCCTCTTTTCCTCTGCCAACATCTTCGCTCTGTTTATCACATGCTCCATCTGCCTGTAGTATCTGCCATGACTGATGGAGGAAGTGTATATTATCCCCTGTGCAGCCCTGTGTACAATCAATCACAGAGTGCATTTGGCTCTGCTTGGTTTGAAAAGTGTGCATGTACATGCGTTCATATGGGGGGGGGCTAGGCATGCCTCTGCATTAATTAGGTTAGGCCTCTTAATCGTGAACCTAATGTCGAGCATCTTCCAACATCAGCATAAAAACTCCCCACATGAAAAAAATCAAGCCTGAAAAGCTAAACAAATAAATGAGTAATTTTAGTTGTTTGTTTTTAAGTTTCTTCTTGAAGGTTTTATAAATGTTAAATTTATAAGGATGATCTCTAAGAATTGATTTTATTGTCTTTAGCTCCCCATGCAATTTTTACTTATGGCTGCAAGTATCTATCTATCTATCTATCTATCTATCTATCTATCTATCTATCTATCTATCTATCTATCTATCTATCTATCTATCTATCTATCTNTCTATCTATCTATCTATCTATCTATCTATCTATCTATCTATCTATCTATCTATCTATCTATCTATCTATCTATCTATCTATCTATCTATCTGTCTATCTGTCTATCTGTCTATCTATCTGTCTGTCTGTCTGTCTGTCTGTCTGTCTGGATTCATTGTAGTTTTTGCATGTAACGGTCTGTAAAGTCTGGTCTCTGTGGAAATATGAACAGTTAATCCACATGCTTTGCTTTTGAACTAACTAATAGAGTGGGAAATCTGGATTTCGCAACAAAGTTAATTTTCTAACTGAAATATTATTTTATTACTTGTTTTATTACTTTAATTTTTTTCATTTAGAATTTAAATTTAAATGACTCATATTTGTATGCGTGTTTGTTTTGCAGGTGGACAGCGACACAATATGGAATGAGATCCATTCATCCACAGCTGCTCGTCTGGCCGTCGGATCTGTGGTGGAGCTGGTTTTCAAAGTAGCAACGGGGGAGCTGAAGGTGTGTTTAGAGTGAAGTTTGGTCTGACTAGCTGCTGGTGCTGGACATCACAGAAATTCTTTTATAGAGTGGTTTTACGATCAGAAGAATTCTTAGTAGTTTTTTAGTAGGAGTTAAACACCTTTGTTTTTGATTTTGTTTTTCTTTTCAGAAGCAGTAGCAGTTAAACTTTTTTCTTTGTTATTTGACCTTAAAATATCACTTTCTCAGTTGTGTTGAGAGCTTAAATGCTTAATATTTTTGCTTGCATGATTGCAGCATCTTTTTAAGAATCTTTGCTGCATGCAGTCACACCTCTGCTCCATCATTAGCACCTTTCAGGCAGACATCCCCACCCTGTGAGACTGTACCCCCCTCCCAGCCAGGCTTCATGTGTCTGTCGGAGGGGCTGCTCCCTTTTTGAACCCAGCAGGAGGACCCGCACAGGCTCTGCAAATGCCAGCGGGCCCCACTAACAGGCCGCCTTTATTAGTATTACACCAAGGCCACCTGCAGAGCAGCCAATGCACAGAGTGTTAGGTTAGCACCACCTCGCCGCAGACTAATGACATTCCTAAGTGTGAGACAGTAGCACGCCATACGGATACCATATAGTTCTTTCCCTGGGACTGAGATCATTCAGGCATCGCTTTGTGGGTCTGATCTGTTACTCTGCTCAACACTTGGTGATATTACATTGAAATCAAAGTAAAAGTTGTGTTTTTTTTTTAAAAAGGGAAAAAAAAAAAACTACATTCCAAGTATCTGGGTATGGAGTAGGAATACAGGAAAACTTATGTTCCCAGTTAAGTTTCCAGTCGTGCAGATGGTCCTCAGAGGATCCCCTACCTCCGAATTCCACCTGCACCGAGAACTTCTCAAAAAGCAAAAATACACACACGTCTTTTGCTCCCCATGTATATTCTCTCTTTTAGGTGTTGAAATGCACTTAGAAGAACCCCTCTTGCTCCTAATGCTCACGTTTATTCTCACCTTCATACAACAGTAATATGTTGATGTCCTGAAACCAGCCCAGGCCCGTGTCACCGCAGTAACTGGCTGCTAAGACGCAGCAGCTGACTCAACATCATTAGTGCAACTTGCCTCACTCTGCCTCAGCCCAAATGTCTATCTACTGCCCACAGAAAGCAACGTGAGACTCCTTGGACAGCTGATCTTACAGCTGCCTCCTAAATCTGATCCAAATCAGCCTGTGTTACAGTATTTCTATGCACATACATTAAATTTTTCCATCAGGGAGCATCAAAGTCATTTCTCTAAATATGAGGATCATACCTGTTATTTTCTGAACACCTTGTTTTGCTTCCAGAATGGTTTTGCTGTAGTACGACCACCTGGACACCATGCTGAAGAGAGCACACCTATGTAAGTAGTTTTTATGCTTAAATAAAAAAAAATAATAATAATTGTTTCCAGATATTGAGAATGATAAAACATTTATTTTTTTGTAGGGGCTTCTGTTATTTCAATTCTGTCGCCATTGCAGCCAAGCTCCTGCAGCAGAGGCTTAATGTCAGCAAAATCCTCATTGTTGACTGGGTGAGTTTAACATATAAAAGCAGTGAAAAACAGTGATTTGATTTTTACAAATATCAAACCAGTCTTTGCGTCTTCAGTTTTTATTTTCATGCTTTCACCTGCTTGGGGATTCTCTGCATCCTCTTTCTTCCTTGTCTTTGGAGGAGAGGATTTAGTTTTCTTTCTCCCCATATTTCTCCTTTCGTCATGCATTTTTACACTTAACATGTGATATTTCAGAATTTTATGCTTTTTACTTTGCTGTTGCATTCATGCTGGTAGCCTACAGTGGATACGTTCAGTTTTATGTCAGATCTTTTGAAATATGTAAATAAAAGTTGCAGCCTAAGGTGCTGAGTTGATGACAGGACATGAAAAAGTGAGGCATCCTTTGGCAAAACATTGGAAACCAAAGATTAGAGCTTCAGCTTAAATGTTTGTTAAAAAGGCAAAGATTTATGTGAGGATTTGTCCAGTAAGAAAGACGTTGTTGGTTATATGGTTCCCTCCTGTTAAAATTATAATTTTTGTGACTTATCTTTTTAATTCTTAATACAGAAAATATGATTTAATGAATATTATCTTGGAAACAACAATAAAAAACTATTCCATTTAAATGGCTGTGCCCTAACCCCCAAATCCCTCAATCACTATATAGAGCGGGGAAAATATAGCGGACTTTATAGTAAACTCATATAACTGACGGTTCAGACAGACGATCACTACTTTACGGACATTTAGACACAGGCTGTGTTTTTCCAAATGCTTCTGGAAATATTTCAACAAACCACAGCGGAGTTCATCTCTGCTATTCAGTTTGTTCAAGTGTCTGTGTAACAATAACTTGACCACTGATTTAGATTTAATAAGTTACTCGTTACACAAAAATCCTTTAGTTTGACAGAAATAATTCAAGAAGCTGATGTATTGCCTTCCTTCCTTCCGAGTGACTCTCATTGCCGGCCTTTATTTGAAATCAACACAAACCATTTAGGCTGCAGACAAACTTTCAGTTTACCCCCATTCTATTTAAGCTTTAAATCTTCACTAAAAACTGTCAGGAAATTATTTAATGTGGTTTCCTACTAAGTATCAAAAAAATAACATTTTATCATTTTAAGCTTATGTTGTTAATTTTTCATTTTGTTGAATGTTTTCCTTTATTAACCCCCATATTCATCTTCAGTAAAGATGTTCAAAAGTGTCACAATAATTCCGAGGTGTAAACTCACAGTAAATCATTAATGAAGAAGTAGAAATGTAAAAAAAAAAGATCAAAGCAAGTGTTTTTTTTCTAAACAGAAGTTTTCCAGGCCTGTTGGAAGCTAGACTGGCCCACATAATTACATATCCTCCACCCTGCTTAGCATTGAGCATGTCTTATTAATATTTATATGGTTGGGTATTGTGTTATGTCCTTACTTTTCTGCACATTTTGATTTTTTGTTTTTGTTTTATTATGATCATTATGTCCGATTTAGATAAATGAATCCAGGCTTGTTTCCAATGATATTTTATAATTCTCATTATGAGATAATGGTACTGTAATCAAAGATGGTCTTTTGTTACAGCTTAAATATGAGCTTTAGTTAATATGTAGGATTGTAAAGATTTCTGCAGTTTATATAATTTCAGAATAAAGTAAAGGTTTTAGATGGAAGTTTCATTGATTTAATTTTTCTTTTTCTTTTTTAGTAAAATCAAAAACGTTATGCAACAGTGTCTGCAAAGCAGATCCCATTGGAGCAGTTATTTCAAACGATTGTTGGCCCCATTGGAGTCAAAACCAATAATGTCAAAAAATGTGCTTGAGATTGCTTTAACCTCCACTCCTTTCTAATCACTCTAGGATGTGCACCACGGTAATGGCACCCAGCAGGCCTTCTACGCAGACCCCAGCGTGCTTTATCTATCCCTGCACCGCTATGATGATGGGAACTTCTTCCCAGGCAGTGGAGCCCCAGACGAGGTTCGTCTCTTTGCTTCGCCGTCCAGTTTTCTTTTCAATAACTTCCTATTAAAACATGTTGATGCACCACAGGTGGGCAGCGGTGCGGGTTTGGGCTTCAACGTGAACATGGCATTTACTGGAGGGCTTGAACCTCCCATGGGAGATGCAGAATATCTAGCTGCCTTCAGGTAAATCATTTATATTTCCCTGAACTTTACGAAACATTTTTTTTGTTTTTTTTTTTTTATTTTTTTTTTTCTCTGGATCTGTTTCTGAGAAAAAGAAAGAATTATCAGTCATAGAGTTTGGTATTTTTGGCAATGACTATAAAAAATCTACCACAAGATATAAATAAATGATCTACTGGGAGCCATTAAGTAGGCAGGGGGGCTTGTCATCATGCCAAGCCTGATTTCTTCTATTTGGACCCCTTACTGCCTGCTAAATATAAAACTTCTCCTACTTCCCCCTAACACATCCACACATGCAAACTGTGCATATCGCTTAGCCATTTTTGATTCATGCATCTTGAAAGCGGCAGGACTGGATTCCTTCCAGCTCTCTTTGAAGATGGGTCCATGCTCTCAGCTGTGCGTCCATCTGGTCTGAAGCCGAAGCATCAAACTGACCGGTTTGACCGTCTTATCACAGCCCTCGGCACGCAATCTCCAGGAAGCACACCTCAGCCTACTAATGCACATCAGAGCTCTGTTTGCCCTCAGTCACCGACTTGTCTTTTTATTCTTTCCTTTCTGTCTGATCCTACCCTTTCAACCCTGTTGTCTGCATATCAACTCATGACAAGTGATATATTATTTATACTGCTTGCATATTTGGAAAGCTGAAGCAGAAAGCTATTCAGGTACTAAACATTATGTTTATAGAAAAGCTGGGCAATTCAATACATTTAGATAAATATAAATCTTCACTAAAGGTTTGGGTTTAAATCTTTGGTAGCAGTATGATCACATACAAAGAGTATTCATAGCCCTTTGATAGATTTAATCTAGGACAGCAATTGTCTTTAGAAATCACTTAATTGATAACTAATGTCCTCCAGGGTGTGATTAAATGTAGGTATAGATGCAGCAGTTTTGTGAAAGCCTCAGTAGTTTGTTAAAGACCATCAGTAAACAAACAGCTTCAATGAAATACCAATGAACACCAGACATGGCAGTGATAAATATGTGAGCATATTTATAGCAGGTCTAGGTTATAGAGAATTTCTTAGATCTCTGATCAATGTGTCATTTTAAATAAGAGGCCTGAAAAGTAACTTCCAACTTACTGAGACATGACTTCTCACCTGAACTGGCAGGCTGGGCACAATGATCATTAATCAGGGAATCACTTACTGTAAGAGAGTCTAGAGATGCTTTAGAAGACCTGCATAGATTTAGACCTCAGGTATATATAGACATCATAACTATAACTGCAGAAATCTGGCCTTTATAATTAAGTGGCAAAAAAGACATTCACGGTGCAGGCCTTAATGCTCAATTCCGATTTTTTAATTTTTTTATTTAACAAATATATGCGACTTGTATGTGATCTCCTGTGTGAACTGCATTTATACAACGAAAGTGTACCTCATGCGCAGTAGAGGACGCCATGATGTCACATGCAAGTGTGCTCTGTGTTTACAGAAGGTGGATGGTAGCGCTGGAGCACATCTAGTGATCGTTCCCAACCATAAAATCTCAATCTTTATAGGAAGGTTGAAAATAAAGACTGCTCTCCGCATTATCGTCCGCCATGTTGTTGTTTTTCGTCCTGCTTCTGCACACCAAGATGCAGAATAGTGACTTTAGTTGAGTATTAATGACGTTCTGGTCGGATGAAAACGACCTGGCCGTTCAGACACAGGTCGCATTTGAAAAGATCCGATTCGTATCGGATTCAGGACCACATAGCCAAGTGGCCTGGGTCGCATTGGAAAAAAATCAATTCTGTGTTGTTCAGACTGTCATGAAGAGATCAGATTGAGGTAGTATGTGGGCAAAAAAAAAATCGGATTTTGGTCACTTCAGGCTGCGGTGTGAACGTAGCCATTGTTGGAAAAAAAAAAGGTCACGAGATGTTCTGTTTACATTCATCACCTGTAAAGCCCTGAATGTTTTCAGTTTTACCACATGACAAAAAGGCGTAACTTTTTGCAGAACCGGCAAACGACTTTGAACCATGGTCCATCCCCCCCGCCCCACTCCACCACATGTAATATAAGCGTAGCAGAGAAAGATTACAGAATTACAGCACAAGTTGTGGCTGGCGTTAAGAACATGAAGATACGTCCCTTTTAGAAACGTATCCCTTTGAAAGAGTAACTACAGTATTATCCCATTCTATCCGCGTGACTTCCAATAAAACATGATTATTTTATCCCGACAAAAGAAATGTCTTTGTTAAGTTATTTCACTCCTGTAGGAGATTAAATAAAATGTATTCCAGTATACTATGGGAAGGAAAAACTATTTCATTGGACCCTAACTTTGGTGTTTTAGGGTTTAAAAAGTCTTTTTATTGATGATAAAAACTATTTTTAACCTTAAAATTAAAAAAATATTGTTTCTGCAAGGTCTTTGCTACGGAGGAGCTGAATATAGAAGCATGCCAAGGTTTATATGCCCTCGTGAAATTACACTAAAGAGGTTTGAACACTAATGATGCCTCGTAGAAGCTCAAACAGAAAACAGGATACTTTGAATCCGTTGTTTATCTGTGTATCTTGATTTTCCTTCCCCCTATATCTCCCGGATGGGGGTGCGTGCCCTGCAGCAGCCACCTTTCCATTCCTCTGCTGGCCTGCGCCACGTTGCATTTACAGGGGATCAAGTGTGAGCCTCTAGAAAGCACAGAGAAAAAAAAAGATAAGAAAATTGGCCCTAATGAAAACCAGAAGCACCGTCTCTCTTTCTCTTTCTCTCCCCCTACTCCTCCTCGACCCTGGTCCCCCTCTTTACCATGAACTTGGAGAGAAGAGAGAGAGGGAGAATTAAATTTAATTCAGACCAGCTCTCCGCAGCAGCAGATGACAAGGCTTTGAAGTGTAAGCGTGCGTGTATGAGTTTTTCACTCTCTTCATTCTTTCTCTTCTGCTTTTTTTTTTTTATTATTTTTTTTTATGAACGAGTCAGGAAAGCCTTCAATGTCTGCAGTTTAACCTTGTATTTGCTGGTTTGATGCAAACTGCTGCATCTATTGGACATTTCTTTTTAGAAGACAATTAAAAAAGTAAAGGAGGCTGATTATTTCTAATAAGATCAGTATTTTTTATCTCACTTTTGACTGTTTTAATAACCTAAAGAAAACCTGCTAAATAATTTTTTTTTAATCTAATATCAAATTCTTATCACACATTATCTTTATATCCATGTGCAAAAACACACCCATCACAAATAAGTACTGTCCACCTGTTGCTAGGTAAATCAAACAATGCTAAACAACAGATCACTCTGCATAACTGTCAAGTGACTCTAATTGCAGTAAAGTCGGATTGGAAAAGAGCCGACAGCTCTAAATGTTTTAACCACGTTTCTCAGGATGTCCTGTAGCTTACGGCTGAGTCGTAAACCCCCCCTCCCCTTAATTAACCATCTTTTTTTTTCATCTCTGCATACATGGTCTCTGATTCACGCCCAATTAGTACTCCTCAGAAACCGCCGTCTTCCTTCTTTCCTGGTCTTTTAATTGATTCTTTTTTTATTCCTTTAAATGTCATGCTATTACTTGAAGAGTTTGGGGGGAAGTGACGGATGACTTCGGCTGTATTCCTATTTTCCTTCAGAACCAGACCTGTTTGTGTCTTTGCTCAAGACTGAACGAGGAGGAGGTGAGGAAGCCTATGGTTTAGCAGTCCTTGGTAGAAGATTTTTTCCTCAACAAAGTCTATGGCTGACTGCCTTCATTAAGAGTGGGGTCGTTTATGGCTCTAATCCTGATAGATCAAGGTTGTAGGTTTATGTGGACAGATTTTTTTCTCATACTATATGAGCTCTCATCGGTTTCTGTGTTCTCTTTCCAGATAGTCTTTCTCAATGAAGCTTGTACATCCCCTAAACATGACGTCTAACCCTAAAAAAGTTGCCACATACTCGTTGAAGCGTAGTGACGCACATGCTGCATGTATCTCTCCTGTCTGGCAGCCCCAGAAATCTTGTAATGCTACCTCCCGCCTCTCCTTCAGACAGCTGTGTGCGCTCTACAGTGTTGTGTTGTGGAGGTGGTGGGGGGGTAAGCAAAGTCTCAGGGCTGTAATTTGGTGGTGAGCAAGAGATGGAAAAACCTGTGGCCTATGGAGCTCAGGCGAGCTGCCTGCCCACAGCTTGCTAACCGGCACCATGTTCCTGAGGTCAGCAAAGTGCAGGGGACCTACAACAGAACCTTGTGGTACTCCATCAGTCACAGACCTCATCAAAATACTACTTGCCCAAATATCACAGAAACCTAAAAAAAAAATGACAAATGGGCACCAATCCCAAAGGAATTTGGGAGAAACACTTGTTTTGCCATCTGGAAATCCCAGCTGTTTATGAGACAAATGATACCTCTTAAATGACTCTAAACCCATGTTTCCAATTGATGCGTATTATCTATTTCTTGTAGTCATGGTCATCATAATTTAAAATAACAACATCATAATGTAAGAAAATACCTAAAGTAAGGCTAAAGACATGTATGAGCAGAATTTTTTCTTGTTAATACATTTTTATTAGTTTCTATCATATATTAAGTTTGACAGAAAAGAGAGAGAACAGACTGTTGCTGAGGTGCAGATAAATGAGCTCTTTGAAAGGTTTTCCTCGTACAGTAAATGATGAAGGCATGCATGAAATGAGAATTTACATAATCTCTTCATTTCTAGTTTATACAAATGCAATACAAACAGAAATGTGTATGTCCTCTTTGGATAACTTTTCTTTATCTTGAGTATTATGCATATTTTGACACAGAGATTTTTTTTCCGCATCTATTTGTTTTTGGTTTATATTGGACAAAACCTCATTAATCCTGACCTTGGATATTCAAGAGACGACTGAGCAAATGCTGGTTCCATACACCAGCCATTCAGTTCAAATTAAGCATCTTCCACTGCCTTTCTGCACACCATTCACTGTAAGCACTGTGAAAAACTTTAATAGATTTCTATTGAATAACCACCTTCAAATTAGTGGTTGGTTGTTTGTGACTGAAACAGATCTGAGAGCAGTTGGAGGAACGACGGAAACTGACTCCTGATTGGGACCCGCTTTATTTCAACCTCTCTCTC